CCAAAGTCCCATTACGCCGACTGAAGGTTGGGACAATCATATCCAAAGTATTCCAGACTCTTATATAAAAGAACGAGACTGAAATACTTTGGAGGGGGTATCTGTAGGCATATAAAATTGCTTATAGGTCCCTTAGCACAGCTCGGCACAAACCGACGAACCAACGAGGCGACGAATCGCACGCAAGCAACGGAATAAATCCATTCGCGTTCGGAATCAAGCCAAGTGTTGAAGAGTCAACGAGTGATCCAACCAAAGACAAACTCGGACGAATCACGATCGAATCAAGATCAGTTTCGGACTTGAACTCAGAAGCAGATTTACTGCCAAATCAGAAGCGGATTTACTGCCAAATCAGATCAACAAAATCAGAATCTAAGTCAACCGAATCACGGACAGAACCGAGAAACGGATACAGCGCAAAACGACGGAAAACAGCAAACCCAGATGGGCTCGGCCAAAACCGAGCCGCCTCAAGGTGGCTCGGCCAAAGCCGAGCCACCCTGAGGTGGCTCGGTGGCCAAGCCACCTCAAGGTGGCTCGGCCAAGGCTGAGCCACCCTGAGGTGGCTCAGTGGCCGAGCCACCTCAGGGTGGCTCGGCCAATGCCGAGCCACCCTAAGGTGGCTCGGTGGCTGAGCCACCTTGAGGTGGCCGGCCCAGAGCCGAGCCACCTCAAGGTGGCCGGCTGCACTGTGCCCAAGGCACAGTGAGGGTAGCCTATAAATAGGCCCCCTTTTGTTCATTTTCAAAGGTTGGACTTTTGAGAGCCGAAACTCTACCAGATTAAAGATCGAGTTTAGAGTTTTGAAGACTTGAAGACTTGGACATCCAGATCTGATCCTCGGCGAGCATCCACGTCACAAAAGGCAGGAGTACGAGAGAGGGGAAGAACAGATCTGAGATCTAAACGAGATCACACTCCGGATCTAAGCTTGGTCTTAGATCCCGAGATCCGAGCGATTATTTCCTTAGTGAACTAATCCCTCCCAGCTATTATTCCCTTCGTGGAATAATACCCGTCAAATCGTGTAGATCCGACCGGATCTAGATCGCGTGGTGGTCCACGGATTAACCCCGGCGTTGGCAAAGAACCCACAAAAGCGAGTGACCGCAAAACAGGAGCTCGCGATTTGTTCACAAGGAGAAAGTTGTAATTTTTTTTATTTTATTTTCTTTGATTTTGTTGTAACCGGATCTAAAAAAAAAAGACCGGATCTTTTGTAACCACAAAAAGTTGTTATTTTGAGATCACAATGACATCAATGAAGAAAACGATTTTCCCCGCGAACAGTGTGCAGTGGAGACATCATGTAACGAGGCCCCTTGTATTCTCCCCCACGTGGATAAGCTCTAAATACACACAGTATTTGTGACGAGGCCCCAACGTATAGGATTTTATAAAAAGTGCCCGGAAAGTTACGAACTTGCCCATCTGAAAGGACTAACATGGGTTACTGCGCCCCCTCCCTACTCCTTCCAAATTTCTCGACGGATTTCAATAGTGGTAAGGATATCGCCGGAAAAATGTCGTCCGCGGAAGTAGAATCCGTTAACGATTCCGAAGTCGCTCATTGCGCCGATTCGAAGGGAAAAGATGGTTCATCTGGGATTGGCAGCGCGGAGGAAGCCACTCAAACCCTCTTGGTCATGCAAAGGCAGGCAGTCGAAGTGCGAGACCAGGAAAGAAAAACGGCAGAGGTTGGACGTACCAGCGAACCATCCCCAAAAAAGCAGTATGTGCTAGGTTATATAATATTTTGTGACCTGACATAATTTGCCCTAATATCAGTTCATCCTAAACAGTTATAGGTTCAAGCACAGCCCATGTTGGTTCTAGTTTGAGTCAATGTTAGTTATAGATTGAGTTCATGTTAGTTTTATAACAGCCCGCGTTAGTTCTATTAGATGACGTTAGTGTTAGGTCTAATTTCAGTGGGCGTTAGTTCTAATTTAACTTGAAAATTTTATTTCTTTACAGGAAAAAGCTTGCTTATACTGAATCAGTTGAATCCAGTGGCACAGGGATGCGTACCGTGGCTCTATATTTGAGCACTATATTTTATTTGGGCCTCCTGCGCCTGATCGCCCCTTACTGGAACTGCTGCTGAGCTATTATGATGAAGCCAATGGCAAATTTTCTATCCCTAATTCAAAGACTAGTGGGGTGAAAAGAGTTAAATTTGATATACAATGGGTCCACAACCATACATATTTCCCAGTTAATAGAGAAGTACAATGGGTCCACAACCATACATATTTCCCAGTTAATGGAGAAGTCCCAAGTATCAATCGGGACTCAAAAAACAGAATCTGGGTGCAATACTTCGCTCCTCTTTTCAAGACTGAAGAGGGGAAGAAGTTAAAAAAAGGAACAATCACCCATCGCAGATACCTCGAAGGGCAACTGGAGAGGCTTGTGGAATCTACAGAATAGCAGGATATCCAAGACTTTGTTCTGCTACAAATTCTGTACCAATGCTCTATGATATGGTGCCCCAGATGCGGGGAGGGTATCCCTAGACCTATACTCAGGTACCTGGATAGCATTGAGAGGGTCAATGGAGTTGCATGGGCCCAATTAATTTATTCAGAAATTATCAGGGGCATTGGGGTTGCTTTGAAGGGCAAGAAGAAGTCAGGGATGACACATGTCCCAGGTTGCATGACACTATTGTGTGTAAGTTCCATGTTTTACTCACTCAGCAAGTATTTTTGTTCTGATTTATGTCATGTGAGTTCTAATGTATGGTCATGTTAGTTCTAGTTTTTTCCATGTTAGTTCTAACTTATTTCATGTTAGTTCTAATTTGGGTCATGTTGGTTCTATCTGTGGACATAAGTTAGAACTAACAGAGATCATGTTAGTTCCAATTTATGCCATGTGAGTTCTAACTTTTAGCATGTTAGTTCTAGCTGCACCCATGTTTTATTTTAAATCGCTAATCATTTTAGTTCTAATTCATGCCTTGCGCGTTCTAATTTGAGTGCTTAATGTATTTGTTACAGCTTTGGTACTACGAGATGACCGGCATAAAGAAATATGCCTACGTCGACTACTCCAAACCTCCAATGACATGTTGGGCTTCAGCGGATGTGAAAGTCTCATCTCTGAGGGTGAGGACAATAACATCAAAGGCTAAGGCAGCTTCAATAGCTTTTGTCCATAGGCCTATTGTGGAAGTAGGGCCTGCTCCTTCAAATATACGTGCACTTCCCGCGGTACCGAGGGGCGAAGGAGTGCATCATAAGCCTAAGGCAAAGAGGAAGGCGAATGAGGAGGAAACGAGGAAGAACTTATCAATAGGCTATGTAAGTACAATGTTAAGTCTAACTTATTTCACGTTAAATGTAAACAACATCCATGTTAGTTCTAATCCTATTTTATAATATAATCTCCAAACCATCTCAGATCATTGCAAAGCATATTGACGATTCCATTGATGATGAAGAGGTGGAGAATCTACCCATTGAGCAGCAGCTTGCTTTTTGGAGAAATTCTGCTAAATGTCTCAAACGAATACTATCTGCCACAAAGCAGAGCAAGAGTACATATTGTAAAGAATTTATGATTGAGATCAACAGGCTAAACACAATAGTTCAAAAGCTTGGAAGCCATGATGAGATTATAGACCCGGTGGTGCTAAAGGCAAATATCAAACAGAAAATTGTGGATAGGAGGAAGTTGAAGACACGGGTAACTGAGGAGGAACAGCATGGCAAATCAAGCAGAGCACATAAGGAAGGCGCCACCATGCAAGAAGCTGTACATAAGAATGTTGAAGAGGTTGCTGAGGAGCCTGTTGATGATTTTGTTGTACATGGGTGCGATGTTGATTTGGGGGTCACCACAATGGAAGGCAAAGTTGTGGATGAAGCCCCCGAGAATAAAGATGAGGAGAGTGTAGATAGAGAAGATATTATTGTAGATAATAAGATTGAGGAGGATGTAGATAAGGTGGATGAAAATGTAGATAGGGAAGTGGAGAATGCAGATAGGGTAAAGGAGCATGTTGATAACGAAGAGGGGATTGTACATAAAAAGGAGGAGATTGTAGCCACTGAAGACGAGCATGTTGGTAGAGAAGGGGAGAATGTAGAGAGCAGGGCTGAGGAGATTGTACATAAAGGGGAGGAGCCTGTTGATATGGGAGGGGAGCATGTTGGTGGAGAAGGGGGGGATGTAGATAGCAATGCTGAGGAGGATGTAGATAAGGTGGATGAAAATGTAGATAGGGAAGTGGAGAATGCAGATAGGGTAAAGGAGCATGTTGATAACGAAGAGGGGATTGTACATAAAAAGGAGGAGATTGTAGCCACTGAAGACGAGCATGTTGGTAGAGAAGGGGAGAATGTAGAGAGTAGGGCTGAGGAGATTGTACATAAAGGGGAGGAGCCTGTTGATATGGGAGGGGAGCATGTTGGTGGAGAAGGGGGGGATGTAGATAGCAATGCGGCTATGGATGTAGATACTTCACACCAGGTGGACAAGATTATAGAAGATCTGTCAAGGAATGTGCAATCGGAGACAGATGAAGCAGCTCCACCAAGGAATAAGCCCAAGGCAGGTAGTCCACCGCCGAAAAGGGAAAGCAAGAGATCTAAATGGAAGAGGACCCCTTACACAGAGGGAAAAGGAAAGAAAAAGCAAAAAGAAATGATAGATCTCATATCAAGTCCTGAATATGTACATACAGAGAAGAAAGTTTCCCATTTTTACCCCGGCAACCAATATCCCACTTGGGATGCGTTGAGGTTGAAGCCAATGTCAGCGGAGGAGAAATCTTTATTGGGCGAGCTAAATAAAGATCTTGAAAACCCTGATGATTTTGACATCCGCATACTAAATAGTTCTGGTGCCTTTGTACATAATTTTAGGATTTCATCTACAGTATCAACAAGACTCGATACGGCTGAAAATAATTGCCTAACCAAATTTTGCTCCCAAAAGGTTCACAGGTAAGTTTCAATTGACCATTTATATGCTAGTTTGTCCCATTGTTAGTCCTAATTCATGTTTTGTTATGCTTTTCAGGAGATATGATGTCATAAGAACAGCCAACAGCCATATAAACAGAGAAGAGCTGTTGTATTTGCTTCGTGGTGGCCGGCTTGATGACAAGGTTAGTTTATACATGCTTAATAATTGATAATGTCTTTCGCGTATTGTATTTTAATGTTTCATTGATGTTACAGATGGAAGAGACATTGTTGGAAACGCTTCAGCAAGAGGCATATGACAAAAAATTTGGAATCGTCTCTGTGTACTTTCTTGTAAGTACATGTCAGTTCTCAATTAACGTGTTAGTTCTATCATGAGTCATGTTAGTTCTAGTTCGCTCAATGTTAGTTCTACCATGTGTCATGTTAGTTATACCATTAGTCATGTTAATCCTATTTGGCACCGTGTTAGTTCTGGTTTATATCATGTTTGTTCCATCATCCATCATGCGTAATCCCGAATTCTCCCTTTTAAGTTTCAACCCATACATTACTTTGTTTGCAGCACTCACTCTATGGCGTCGGGGCGGAACATTACGAGCTATTTTTGACATATATTGAAAAATATACCGATGTCCGTATAGAGCAACTGTTGATCCCCTTGGTCAGGGACGATCACTGGCATCTTGTTCTGGTTGACCTGAAAGAAAAGATCGTCAACCACTACAGTTCAGCTGGCCACGAAGCTTGGATGGAGCCTGTTAATAAAATCATAAACTATTTTGAGGAACATCAAGTTGATTTTGTTAAGGCAAAAGTTCGCAGAGTATTTAAATACCAAGTCATCAAATGCGAGCAACAAAGAGGGCGGTTAGTTCATGGCCCTAAATTGTGTTAGTATTCGATATAACGAAAATGTCTAATTTATCATTTTATGTTGCAGCTTTGACTGTGGTGTGTTCGTCTACCTCTATATCAGAGCAATAATTGGAGGTCGCTCGACATTGTTGGTTAATCCACCTGGCGATATCCCTGAAGCTATGCGTGCAAGACTTGCCGCTCACTTATTGATAGCTGGTTGTGAGCAGCGACATAAAGACGGCTCAGCGTATAGTGATGAATGACATGTTTATACAAATACAATAATGTAATATTATTTAATTGAAAATGCATATTTTCAGATGTATTGTTAGCTCTAACTTCGTGTCGGTTCTAAAAGAGTACTTGGTTCATCTAATTGAAATTGTGTTCGGGTTAGCTCTTTTCTTGTTAGCTCTAGTGGAGCGTTAGATGAACTAGAACTAACAGGATGACAGCTAGAACTAACAATAAGTGATACAGGGCTAACATGGCCACCACAACAAACACTTGGCGTCGAACTAACGCCAGCACGAAGTAGAACTAACCCGAGAAGGGCTAGAACTAACAGGAGGACGGCTAGAACTAACAAGAAGTGAGCTAGAACTGACTAGGAGTGAGCTAGGGATAACATGGAAGCCAGAACTGACACTTGTGACGGAACTAACGCCAGCACGACTTAGAACTAACTTATATACAGTCAGTTACGAACCGTATCGTGTTAGTTCTACTCCATCTCGTGTTAGATCTAGTTGTTTTCGTGATAGTTCTAATTGAAACTCCTGCAAAAAAGCTGTTCTACTTGAAATTCGAGGAACAGAATGAAGTAAAATTTTCTGAGTTCATAAGAAACATATTATTCAATCAGTATTTGCTCAAGTTGAAAGTAAAAAAGGAAATATTCAACATGAAAATACTTACAACGTTAGTTCTAATTGTTTCAATGTTAGTAGGCATTTATATGCAGGCAGTCCTAGATTTAAAGTGTTAGTTCTAACCGCAGCCCGCGCTATTTCTATCGCCCATGCTGGTTATAGATGCTAGGTTAGTTCTAATTGATTCAATGTTAGTTCTAGTTTACTTACAGTCAGTTCTAATTTCGCTAGCGCTCTATTTGAGCAAGTGTTAGTTCTAGATGTTACATCATTTATATGTTCGCTGCTTTCTAAGACATGTCTATCACCCCAACAGTTCACATCATATATCCGCATCTTTCCAGTTCAGGAAAGGGTGTTAAAATAGTATTTCCCTCGATATTCGAGCTTTGTCCTTTTCCACCGAATACCTAAGTCCAGCGTCTTCAATCTCTGTCATAAACCATCACAGATGGCTATGGATGGCACCTGTACACACTGCCATGGGTCAGGGCATACCTCTCGAGATTGTCATCACGGTATTACTTTTCGTGCCCCTCCCAGGATGCTTACCGTCCCTGCCAACACCGCCAGCACCATCCTACATCTCTCCGCTTTCGCAATCTTCAATCTTAGGTCAGGCCATCCATCCGTCCAGGAGCTCAGAGAGATGTTGGCTTTTCGCTTCAATCGTAGTTCATCGCCCTATCAAATCAAAGAAGCGCCAGGAAAGAGCTTCATGGTGCAGTTTCCATCCGTCGCCCTTCTTACCCAAGCCACAGAGCTCGGCCTGGTAGATGGGGGCACCTTTACGGGCAGATTCCACCGATGGAAGGAGGATCTCAGGCTTTCAATGGTTTCCTAACCTTTTCCAGTATGGATCCGCCTATTCCACCTCCCATACCATCTCTGGGATTTTGACTTTCTGCAATCTCTGCTCGATGGTATCGGTGAATGCATCATGAGCTCTTGTGGTGACATAACACATGATAACTTCAAAGAATTGAAAGTGCTTCTGAAGATTAGGGATTTATCTGATGTCCCAAAGAGGATTGGTTTTCGTTACATCTCCCCAGTTGACGGGATCCTAAGGGAAGGCCACGCCGTCACGCAGGTACTCGGCAGGGGGGATTTGGAGAGGACTGAGGGATCCACTCGCATAAGCTTAGAGGACCCGCGTGTGCAGCCTTTTAATACTGACCCAGAGTTATAGGAGGTTAGTTGGGACGGCAGGCACATGACTGTTGAGAGAGACCAATGGTTGTTGTTCCTCCAGAACCAAGGGGTCGGGGGATCCAATTTGCCGAGGGCTCTCCCCACCGCCAATGCTCCTCATCCAGATAACCCCACCGGCTCGCATAGTGGATCAACGAAAACCACCTAACCCTATGGTGTTAGTTCTACTGTGTAATTGTTAGTTCTAGTTGTGTAATTGTTAGTTCTAACAAAACACATGTGGCCGTCGATAACGGTGGCCGTTGATAACTGCGGGCCACAATCTATATTGTCATTGGGAAGCGCTGCAAATAAATAACATAAACAAAACAAATAATCATTAACTAAATCAATAGAAACTATAAACTAATAACATAACACAATTAAGAAAAAATCACTAACGACTGTTTGTGTTAGAACTAGCATGAAATTCATCTGAACTAACAAGAAATCAATTAGAACTAACATGAAATCGATTAGAAATAACAGATTTGACCTAAAATGGAATTTGTCCTAGAACTAGCAGTAAATCGATTTCATGTTAGGGCCTGTTCGGTTGTTTTCCGCAAAAAAAAAGAAACCAGCTGTTTGCGTTGAAAATTGTTGTATTCATTGTTGTATTCATTACAACTTTAGTCGTTACAATGAAATCAAAAAAAGATTGTCTTTTTATAAGACCTTTACACAATGAAAACAAAAGTTACAACTCTCGTCAAAACAAACGCAGAGATCGTTTATCGGTCTTCTGCTTGCGTGGGTACGTCGATATCCGTGGACTACCTGGCACTCAGATCTGTTCCTGAAAAATCGGACAGAGCTTCGTCGATCCGCGTGAGATCTAGAAGCTTGAAGCGTCTATCTCGGCTAAAACGAGATATCTGCTCTTCTTAGGATTACCGGCGAAGGGTAATACTAAGGAACGGGCACGGGTGATGAAGAATCTGATGAAGACCTCTCCTCTATTGAAGCGCTCGACCACTCTTCACTGCAGCAGGGCTTCACCAACTCTCCAAAAAATCCAGATCTTTTCAAATGAAGCCTTGGGTGGCTATTTATAGGCAATGGGGGCATCTAGGGTGCCTAGACACCCCTGGGGTGTCTCAGAAAATCCGAGACACCCCTGGGGGTGTTTTGGAATTCCTGAGACGTCCGTTGAGGTGCATTCGATTGTTTTCGGCGTAAATTCTTCGTCCGAACTCGGATTTGAGTGATTCCAAGTGCGTTGGAAGCTTGACGAAGAGTTCGATCCGCTCCGGTGGTTGGATTATCTGTAGAGTAATCGAGACACGAAGTGCGTTGTTCTTTTGCGAACATCGCCGGGTTCCCGATTGGCCCGGGTCTTCGTTGTTCCGAAATCCTATCAGCTCACGTAGTTCGTCGATTCACTTCAATCGTTCATCGACATCAATTGAACTCCTGTAGATCGGATAGTGACGTTCGTGGAGACCTATAGGCAATTTTTGATGCCTACAGATACCCCCTCCAAAGTGTTCCGGACTCGTTTCTTTTATAGAAGAGGCTGGAATACTTTGGATGTGATTGGTCTAGCCTTCAGTCGGCGTAAGGACCTGTAGTTACCTTCAACTCTTGGCTCCTTCGATTTTTGGTCTATTCGAAGCTTTGACGAATAGCCGAAGTTCTTCCGGCGCTGCGTTTATCGCTTGGCCGTCATCGAAGTCTCGAGTCTACAGCTGATGAATTGAGTTTGGCTCGTGTCATTGAGTTGACTTTGAACTACCTCCATCACATTATGTTGACTTAGGGTTTCAGATCATCGTGTGTTGACTTTTTGTCGCAACGCGTTGACTGGCGTTGACCTAGGGTTACGCGTTGACCAGCGTTGACCCTAGGGTTTCGAATCGTCAGACGTTGACTTTGGTTGCAACGCGTTGACTGGCGTTGACCTAGGGTTACGCGTTGACCGGTGTTGACCCTTAGGGTTTCGAATCGTCAAACGTTGACTCTGGTTGCAACGCGTTGACTGGCGTTGACCTAGGGTTACGCGTTGACCGGCGTTGACCTTAGGGTTTCGAATCGTCGAACGTTGACTTTTTGGTCGTAACGCGTTGACTGAAGTTGACCTAGGGTTACGCGTTGACCGGTGTTGACCCTAGGGTTTTGAATCGTCAAACGTTGACTTTTTGGTCGCAACGCGTTGACTGACGTTGACCTAGGGTTACGCGTTGACCGACGTTGACCCTAGGGTTTTGAATCGTCGAACGTTGACTTTTTGGTCACAACGCGTTGACTGATGTTGACCTAGGGTTACGCGTTAACCGTCGTTGACCCTTGGGTTTTGAATCGTCAAACGTTGACTTTGGTCGCAACGCGTTGACTGACGTTGACCTAGGGTTACGCGTTGATCTGCGTTGACTTTAGGGTTTCGAATCGTCGAACGTTGACTTTTTGGTCGCAACGCGTTGACTGGCGTTGACCTAGGGTTACGCGTTGACCGGCGTTGACCCTAGGGTTTTGAATCGTCAAATGTTGTCTTTTTGGTCGCAACGCGTTGACTGACGTTGACCTAGGGTTACGCGTTGACCGGCGTTGACCCTAGGGTTTTGAATCGTCAAACATTGACTTTGGTCGCAACGCGTTGACTGACGTTGACCTAGGGTTACGCGTTGATCTGCGTTGACCTTAGGGTTTCG